CTTGGTTTAATAAAAATTAATTATAGGTAATACTATATAATGACAAATTCATTTATTTCAGTTATTCAATAAGATAATAAAAACTACATCCAATAATATTTTATTGTCATCCAATGGAGTACTGAATTTCATTGCAATGTAATATTTTTCACTTGACTCTAATGATGGATCCCTAAAGTATTTAGTATATAAAATTTCACAGATTACTTATGTTTCTTTTTGAGAAACAAAATTCATAGCTTTTCACTTTAATAGAAACAAAAATCAGAAAATGTTATAAATCAATGATTTGAATAATGAAAAACAAAAAACAATTGTGAATAGTTTTTTTATAGATATTAATTTAAAAATTTTAATGTTTTTTAGTAAAGGATATTTGATTTTTGTTATTGTCTTCTCCTTTAGGAATCTATCTTTACTTGGCTCCTATGTAATATTGAACTTTAGATATTGTGATTGTAATCTGGGAGCATTACTACTATGCTATAGATCTATAAATTTAATGTTTTGTTACTAATAATAAATTTTTAAAGTATTTAATATATAAAATTTTAAAGTTACTTATATTTCTTTTTAAAGAATAAAAATTATAACTCTTTACTTTAGTAGTAATAAAATTCAAGAAATATTATAAATCAAAGGTTTGAATAATAAAGAATATTTTGAATAGTTTATTTATAATCATAATTTAAAAACTTCAATGTTTTTTAATAAAAATATTTGATTTTTGTTTTTTATTTTTTTTTTAAATATATATTTTTACTTGTCTCTTTTAATTTTAAAAGATTGTTTTTACATATTTTACTAATTTAATTACTTGTGATGTTGCTTTTGTTTAACAAATGATTTAATAATTTATAAGCAAGTAAATTAAATAATTTCCAGTTAAAGATAGGTTTCTAAAAAAGAAACTAAAAACAAAAATTAAATGTTTTTTACTAAAAAATATTAAAATTTTTAAATTAATAATTATAAAAAAACTATACAAAAGTAGAATAGAATTATCAATATAAACAAATAAACATATCAAAACAACAAACAAGGTTTTTCTGTATTATTTAATTGAAACACATAAACAACAACAATCTCAAAAAGGTTTATTCGTGATCTAAAAATAGATCATTGATAAATACAAATAAGTATTTATATAATTTATTAACAAATTTAAGCCAGTAAACATAAATAGAGCACAATATATATTACAAATAGTCAATAAGAGAGAAGAGAATATAATAAATATTCTAATCAACCTCTCAAGAAAATATGATAAACACTCTATCCTATGAGCCTTAAAACAATTACTACAACTAAGAATAATGAATCCAATAGATAAATAGTCCTGTCACCTGAAATAAATATGATCTTAGATAATATTATAGCCAAGATATTAGGAGTTGATATAATAATCTTTCACAAGGAAAGAATTTTAACTCAACATATCACATATCTTTGATAACAAGGTAAAGAGATAAAAGAAAATCTTTTACAACCCTATATTGAAGACAAGTTTATGGAAATTATCAAAAACCCTATAAATTATATTAAACTAGAACAATAATTAATAGAGATTATCGAAGAAATAGATGATGAATTAATAGTAGATAATGAAGTAACAATGATATGTACACAGGAAACAGAAGAGCTTGAATTATAGAAATTTCAAGAAAAAGTTAAAAGACAATATATTAGTGAACACAGTTCTTATATTACTAGAAATAGAGACATGACATTATCAATAAATTCATATTTTATAAAAAAAAAAGGAATCTATAAACTAGAAGCAATGACAGTCAATATTTCAGGAAAAACAAAAGATGAAACCAAAGCATACTTAGGCAATATCCTCAAACTTTCACAAGAAAAAAGAAGCCAGTTAAGAAAAAAATTCAATAATAAAAACAAGTGAATTGTCTTTTGGGTACAATAAGAAGAAGACATTACAAAATATATAGAAAAAATTAATCAAAAAGAAGATAACTTCATGATTCAACATATAATACCCTTGACTACCCACAAGAAACAAAAAACAGAAAAAAACTTAGATAGAAAAGTCTTTTAAGAACCTAAAACCAAAAAGGATACTAAGGTCTGGCATATATGTCTAATAGATATGGATCAAAAAATCAATAAGAACTTTATAAAGGTACATCTAAAAAGATATAGAGAAGTTTAAAACATTTATATCTAGGAGGTAAACATAAAACTATAGATAAAGGCTTATATCAAATGGCACAAATATCTCAGCTTAAATTCTAAAACAATTTGGATAACTCCAATTGATATAGAAATGTTAAGAGCTATATTCTCTAAGTTTGAACTCAGTGACAATGAAATCAATCAGATATTAATTGAGAGAAATGATAATTCAGTAAGACTCCTGGGTACTGACAAAATCTATACTAGCCTGATAATCAAAGCATTGAATAGTACTTAAGCTAAGATATGCTATATACCCAAAGATTTCTATATATCCAAGAAGCATACTTTTATAGTAGTCTGCTTTAAAATGAAAGAAAAAAGAGATAAGGCATACAAACATATATTTTCTTATACTTCTCTTGGAGTATCAAGCATACTTCTAAAATAAAAAGACAAAATCTTAAAAATGAAAATAGAAATACAAAATTTAGGTTCAGAAGCATAGAAGTAAATAATGAATTAACATTAGATACATAATCAGATAATGAATTAATGGACTCTATTTCCACTTCACCTAGTTATCATAGTTTCTGAAATCAGAGACAAATTAGATATAAAAGTCACAATAGAATAGAATGCAAAAAGAATAAAAGAAAAGAATACCTAGCAACAGGAAGCAATAGAGAACCAATTAGGAATCAGCAAATCAATAGACATAGTTTCTTGGAAGATGAAGGGAGACCCAAAATAGAAAGTCTTCAAGATCCCTTTAAGAGTATTTTAGTTAATCTGAAAAGACTACATGCTAGAATAGATACTTTAGAGGAACAGACAGTCTTCAGAAGATCAAGACTAAGTAATAGAGAAGCAAATCACTTCTAAAGGTGCACTAGTTCTTGATAACAATCAAAAGGAGCAAGAGCCATTGCCTCCTTATCAAAAACTATAGACATGGGCAACAAACAAACTTTAATAAACAATAATGAGTTGGAAGAAATGGGGTATCTAGTGTTGTGGGCTTTCCTGGCAAGTCTGTCATTAATTTGTAGTACTTCATATAACTTAGGCATCTCACAAATATTCACAAATGATACAAAGAAGAGAACGCTTCCTATAAAAAACACTTAGGAAAGGTAGAAGTATGGTAATTGACTTGGCTGAAGATAAGTATCTCTTTATTGTGTTCTGTTTCTTTGATATATTACTAACTCTTATCTCTATTCTCAATGAGATCTGTTTTCCTAACACATTTTGCTCTACCTTTTTGATATACATTGGTAAGCTATTTATACTTTTCTAACTAATAATGAGCTATTTACTTTAATCGACTATACTAACCTTAAACTTTGCTAAACTTTCCATACTTTTTCAAATACACATAGTTCTCTTATTAGTACCCGAGCCTTATTTATAGTTTCTTACCTTGCGATACTCAATCTTTCATGCCAGACTTTCAGATTATTAGATTCTAGACTGTTAAGTATAAATTATATCACCCATGTGATCCATAACACTAGATATCTCAATATTTTTATAAGATGAGCAAAAAGATTTTCTAAATAACAATAATAGACACAAACTATTCAAAAAATTCAAGAAGAAGATAATATAGAAAAAAGGATGATCAGAATCAGCACACTTAATATCAAAAGGATTACTGATATAACAAAACAACAAAACCTAATTGAAGAGATACTAGGACAAGGAATAGACATATTGGGGTTATGCAAAACAAAACTAATACAAGTCAATGCACAACAGAGATTCAACAATTAAAAATATTATAAAATATTTTCATAGTAGCAACAAAGATATACCATTTGGAGCAAAGGTTAGTCTCTTAATTAGAAGAGATTTGAAAAAAAAGGTTGCATCAGTAGAAAAAGAAGAAGGATATATTATTGTTACCAACATGCTTATGAAAAGAAAAAAGATCTGTATCATATAAATCTATATTTCTTCTGATAAACTAAGATGTAAAATGATTTTTTCTTTTTTATAAACAAAAAGTACTAGGATATTAAATAAAGAGATGCTTGGTTAAATAAATTCTTTAGTAGTTAAGTCAACAAGTTATTTCTTTAGCTTATTTATTTTTAGATAAGACATGTGATAGGTTGATTTTAATGATAGTTTCAATTTAAATATCAGTTCAATAGTATGATCAATACTTTATTGAGATGGCAGTTCATTGAACTATTTTTCAAAAAATATATTAGAAAATTCTTAAACTAAAGCTTATTTTTCGTGAGTCTGTTTTCAGTAATATCTTCAACAGAAGCAGAGCATTTAAAGATAATTTTAGGTTTCTTGATACTACTGTATATCAAATTTTACAAATTATTTATATCTTTTTTTGAAAACCAAATTTACTTTAGTATGTACAAAATTCAAGAAATACTATAAATCAATAATTTGAAAAATGAAAAACTATTATGTATAATTTTTTAGTTATTAATTTAGAAATTTTAATGTTTCACAGCAAGGAACATTTAAATTTTGTTTTGGCCTTCCTTTAGGAACCCATATTTACCTGCAAGAAGTGGTTTAATCAGTAATGTATTAGGGTAAACTAATTAGACCTTATTTTTCTGCACTAGTTTGATGAAGCTTTCGAAGGGGTGCGTAGTCTTCGAGATATTGATTTGGAGAAAAGGGATGGACAAGTGACCACTGAAGAGATTGAAACAAATTTGCGAACTAAAGGGTAAAAAAAGTACATCTCCGTACGCTAAAAAATTGATCTAATATCTTAAAAAAATTAAACCTTCTAACCTTTCGTTAAGAGACCCAGAAGCAAGTCAAGTAATTAATGGCGATTCAGAAATTATAATAGTACCAGGTACCGATTGAACTCTCACATGGAAGTTGGAATGAGTTGGAAGAAGATCTTGTAGGGTTGCATCTGGAATTTTTGATACAATGTTAGTTTAATGAGTTTTTTATTTTGACACTTTATGCCAGCTCCGCTCAAAAATTATTGCCTATATTTTCTGTTATTGAAACTAGAAGAAGTGTTGGGGGAAATCCGGCGTTTGGGGAGAAGTTCGCAAAATCTCAAAACGAAGGGACATATGTAACGGTTATTATAGTCCCTGTAGTGAAAGCTTCATTAAAAAACTACCAATAAAAAGTTTCGCCTTCATTAGCACATAAGCATGATATTATTTACTTTTTTCGAGTAACTTGCATTTATTTATTTATTTTACTTATAGCAAGTAAAGTGCCCTGATATTATGTCCATGGTAAAGCGTGGGAGAAAAATCTATGAATTAATGTTTGACGAATGGTCTCGTCTTTTTTGTAATAAAGATAAGAAAGAAAATGATTGGGTATAGTTATAGAGACAAATGAGTGATGGTATGCATTGGGCGCAAAAGACGAGTTCGGAATTATTGGGATACAAGTTGCCGGACAAAAACTTCACCTGTAAGTTCTCATTCGGAATGGAGATAGGATAGATAAGCTTTTTAGACTACGTTCGATATCCCGATGCAATTAACAGATAGAAATGCTGTACATAATTTTGTGAGGCATTGTTGCTATTACGGGTATGGATCTGTTATTTATGCTCTCTATTTAATAGAGTATATATAACTTTCTCTTTTTATAGAAAATCCTAATATTTATTAAATGCTGGTTGGTTTACAAGGAGATAAAGAAGATAGTTTGACAGTACCATCCCCCATATGAAGACAATATCTATACATACAGTACTAAGTATTTTTGAATTTGGTCGATTAATAGTATACCCAAAATAGATCCAAAAGTCACATTATCAGTTGCTTCATATTGATTGAATAATTGTCAATACGTATCCTTACCGATTATCAATGACGCCCATCTCTCTTTCCCACGCTTCTTTCTTTTTTTTTTCTTCTGTGAAAGTAACGTTATTCGTCTTGAGCAGGACGAACATTATCTTCAAGCCAACCAAGTATATAAATCCTATTTTTGGCCTAAGTGGACGCGATCAAACGGGTATTTTTACGTGATAGAGCAACCACCTAAGTTTCTTGTTGCGAGTATACTTAGTTGGTAATCCATCTTCGTATTTGTGTTGTAAAAATCGCATAATCACTATAATAGTGCTTAATACTTGAACGAGGGTGGTTGTTCAGTCCGCAAAAAGAGCTTATTGGCCAGTTCGCATAAAACATAATGAGTCGTTCTATGAAGCATTTCTTCGATAACACAATTTTATATACTAGCATAAGATGCAGTTTTTAATTCGAGGGCTAAGTGCAAGTGATAAAATATATTACACCGAAAAAGAGTGGGAAAGTGTCCCTCTTTCTTTTTTAGATTGTGTTTCGTCGAAAGGAGCTAAGGTCCAGGATAAGGTTTCTACAAGAGAATTCTAGTTGAAACTTTAATTAGAGGCTTTGCTAACTGGGTATAGCTTCTCAAGTCATAATAATATATTCCACCTGAATTTCTTAAACGGTCGATTGCGATGATGATGAATCTCAAGTCAATACCTAAAATAATGTCTAAAGGAGCATCCAAACCTTTACAAAGGTACTGTATATCAACAACACTATTTATTTTTCTTTGTTGCAAATCAAGATGAATATCGAATATTAATCGAATTGCTAGTGGATCATCTTTCAACCTAGTAATATCAAATTTAACAAACTCACCCTTTCGTAGATAACTACAGTATTAATAATCATGGACGCATATTTTACATTTTCTTTATAACATCCAGCAATCTTAGGTACATCCTGATAAGAACTTTGTTAAATATTACTATTTTTTATGAGACCCACGTGTGAATAATGGGATAATTCGATTTTATATGGACTCTGGAGTGACACAAATCTTCAAAAATAATTAAAATACTCCTCTCCGGTGAAAATGATTTTACGCAGGGATTTTTTCAGTTCGTATGTAACTGAATCTAATGTTATCGTAATAAGGTGCTTTAGGGTTACTTTCTATCATTTCATATATGTATCTAACGAATGATTATTTTGATTCATCAGGAATGACAACCATCATGGTTAACTCTTGATAAATGCAACTTTGATCTAACGCCAATTAGTTATATGAAATATATTGATTGGAGCTAGTAAGGAGTTTAATTTAGCATACGACAATCGATTAATTTGCTAAATGTATGTGGTTATACGTATATTATAATCGGGCGCCGGAATTTAGTTTGATTTTAAGTTTGAAGACTAAAATCGAACCAAAACTATATTTATTCACACACTCTACTCATCTATCCATTCATATATCTAGTTATTAATCCTATCTGCCAATATTTCACTCTTTTCACTTATCCACGCACCCTCATATTTGTTTACCCATCTATCCGTTCACTTATATACTGTACATATTATTCACTTGCCCATCCCTTCATTTATTTCCCAATTTATCCATTTGTTTACTTTCCCTCCGTTCATTTTTTTCTGTTCACTTACCTATTCCTCTATTCACTCCTCCCTTTATCTCTCCATTCACTTATCCATCCAACTCTCTGTTCGCTTATATATACACTCTTCTATTCATTTACCTACCTATTTATTTATTTATATACAGTACATATTTATTTACTTATCCATATCTTCATTCATCCTTCTTTCAGCTATCCCTATATTTATTTATTAATACACAATCCCATTTATTTACTCGTCTATCAGTTTACTAGTATATACTGTACATTCACTTACTTATTCACTTTTCTATCTATTTTTCTATTTATTTCTCAATTCACTCCTTTGTTTACTTCCTCTTTATTTGTCCCTCTGTTCACTTATTTATCAAATTTTCTATTTACTTATTCCCATACCTTTCTATTCATTTGCCCATCTATATATTCACTTATATACACATCCATTTACTTATTTATATTTCTATTCATTTACTTATCCTTTCATTTATTTATTTATCACTTTGTTTATTTGCCTATTTCTTTATTCATATTTCTATTCATTTTTTCTTTGTTTATCATCTTTCTATTTACTTATTTATTCACTTATCTGTTTGCTTATTTATATATTTATTTATTTACATTTATTTTTTATTCATCTTCTGTTTATTTTTTTTTATTCACTTTTTTATTTACAGTACTTATTTACTTATTACTTATTATATATCTTATTATTTTTTTTGAGTACCTATAGTCAGATTAAATTATCAGTTTATTAATCAATTGAAAATATAAGTACATTTTCATTCAAGCAATATAATATATACTACAGTTAAACTATTCACTATTTCTGCTAATCCTCTGATCACACACAAAAAAGATGTTTGCAAGAAGTTTCTATGCTTCTAGGCTAATAAAGTCTTATTACTTTCCTTAAACCAACTTGAAGAAATTTCAAAAGCCATCAATTACCTTCACCTCTTTTGCTTACTTTCCTCCTCAAACAAAAACTTGATCTCTAGTGACCTTAAAAGCCAAGAAACACTTTTCATACCTATGGCAAGAAAGTTCTGAAAGGAAAAGGAGCTAATGTGCTGCTATCTCACATCGTAGAGAAACACTATAAAAGTGTTATAATGATAAGAGACAATTTTTCCACTCTCTTATCATATGTTTACTTCTCATAGTGCTCGTTCTTGGTTTTCTTCTGAGGAATTTTGCCTACCTCAGTTTGACCCTGAATTTTGAGTAGCACAAAGTTTTTCACACCGTGATTGAACAGACAAAGCTCACATTAGTAAAAGAAGTAAACAAACTCCTATTGATCACCTCATATGTTCCAATACATTTCCTCAGCTCTATAAGAACCTGAGGTCCACTATAAGTCATTATGCCTGATGCGAGTGGATAATAAACACTGTCAACTCCTACATCTTTGGTTAAGTGAAAGAGAAAGAACATACCCTTCCCTTCCTTCCCTCTATCAAGAAAGAAGAAAGAAGACCAGGCTCAAAGAAACACAGAATGAGGACGATGCCTTAAAAGTGCTATGTCTATTCTTTATTAGTATAAATATTGGGAGATCAGAGAGATCTTAGAATCATTCGCACCTAATCAACAACACCAACATGCAATCAAATAACCTCAGATGGCTAAAGAATACACCACATAGACATTAGACAAATGGTTCAATCTCTACTGATGGTAGTACTCTGGAAAAAATAGCATGATATTTATCAAGTCCAATAAAGTGCATGCTGAAAGTATCAAGATTTTCCTTTCTGGGTTGGAGTTATCGCAATGATAAAGAAAGACAAATTGTTGAATAACGGGTCCCTAATATCCCAGAGTCCACTTACTTTTTCTATGTCCTAGAGCTCTCCGAAACCCCCAACTTATCATCACCCAGAAGAACATCGGTAGAAGATCCCATACTGGATAGAGTATGAAAGAAAAAGACAAGAATTGGTAGATAAGGACCACAACATGGAGGTACTGAAAGCAATGAAAGAACAGGCACTACGTCCTGAACTGATGAAGCTCTCTTAGAGTAACCAGCCTATAGTATCAATATGGTAGTAGTAGCATGTCTCCAAGTCACCCATAACCAAACCATTTCCTCTCTTTCATCCGATGCCTTTTTTGTAATGCAAAATCTTCACTCCTATTTAAGTTTGTACAGCTTTAGCTTCAATTTTCTCCTCTAAATAGAGTTAGTAGAGTAGGGTAATGAACACAACCCCCTTTATCTCCTCTTGGGTTAAGTTAGATAAATTAGAATCGATGCATATAGCAATCTTTTCTTTTAAATTTTACATTGCCCTAATAATTCTTTGATAAGGTCTCTGTTTGGAGATGGCTCAGCCATGAGGTGGTTTTTAAACCTATCATTAGTTTACTAGCATATCATTGTTTTTTTCTGGTTGGATATATCCATACAGTTAAACTTGCTAATAAATTTAACCAAGCCAGCATAAAAAAAAAAAACTACAGTTAAACTATTAATTCTAATTTAACTAACCCTTTATAGGCATAAAAGTCTCTAAGTTCAGCCTTGGGAACAATATTTTACTCTACAGTATTTTTAAATAAAGATTCTTCTAGTTCACTATATTAGTGCCAGCAGGTTGGCACTGCTATATATCTGATCAAGTTGTTAAAATACAGGAAACTACAAAAAGGAAAAGTTGAAAAAAAAGTAGGGAAGATATCTAAAAATGTCTAAATAGACAACAAGAAAATGAAAAAGTAAA